GAGAACGCAAAGCTTATCTTAAAGATAACTATATTTGCTACAGATGTTGTGGATCAACTCAGCATATGGCAAAGGATTGCAAAGCAACCATTAAATGTTTTGAGTGTCAAAGTGAGACACACATAACAGTTTTACATCCAGATCCTCCTTCAACAACAACTGAGAGCTGTGGATCTGACAAAGAGGAAAGCGGGGAGCCAGGTGAAGATACACCCATCACATCAAAGTGTACAGAAGTTTGCAATAACCTAGACGGTTCACATTCATGTGCCAAGATTTGTTTAGTTAAAGCATACCCTGCAGGAAGAGAAGACAAAGCTGTTAAAATGTATGCTGTTCTTGACGAGCAGAGCAACAAATCGCTCGCAAAGACAGAGTTTTTTGACTTGTTTGGAGTTCAAGCCAACACAGCTCCATACACATTGAAAACCTGTTCTGGAACTACAGAGACGTCCGGCAGAAGAGCTGATAACTTTGTTCTCAAGTCTATGGATGGAAAAGTACAGATACCACTTCCGACCTTAATTGAATGTGACATGGTGCCAGATGACAGACTGGAAATACCTTCCCCCGAGGCAGCACAGCATCACCCTCATCTAAAGGCAATCGCCCATAAGATTCCAGCAGTGGATCCAGATGCTCCTATTCTGCTGTTGCTAGGAAGAGATGTCCTAAGAGTGCATAAGGTGAGAGAGCAAATAAATGGACCTCATGACGCTCCATATGCACAGCGACTCGACTTGGGTTGGGTTGTAGTGGGTGATGTTTGTGTGGGAAGTTTTCATGGATCTACAAAGGTCAGTGCTTTTAAGGCAAATGTGCTGCAGAGTGGGCGCACATCTTTTTAAGTCCATGTCCGAACAGTTCCAAATTAAGGAGAACTATGGCACCTTACAACAACATCAGATCCATCCCTTTGTTTGTGGGGACATTATTCAACCTATGTATTCAGAGAATCAGGAACATTCAGTGTTTGAAAGATCCAAGGATGATAATAAATCAGGATTGTCAGTAAATGACAAAGCTTTTCTGAGCATTATAGATAAAGAAGTCTACCAAAATGAGGATTACAGCTGGGTAGCCCCTTTACCATTTTACTCTCCAAGACAGCTTCTTCCAAGTAACCGGGAACATGCAATGAAGTGTCTTGACTCACTCAGGAAAATGCTGGAGAAAAAGGCAGAAATGAAAGAACACTACAAGGGGTGCGTTCACACTGCAGCCTGAAGTGACCTAATTCCGACTTTTTGGCAATTCCAATGTTTTTTGCCAAGTGGGTCCGTTCATACTGCCAGTAAATGCGACCTGTATGCGTTCTGCAGTGTGAATGGGCAAACGACCTGAAAGTGTCCCGCATGCGCAGTAGAGGGCGCAATAGCGTCAGCGTTCTCAGTGTTCTGCCAACCGCCATAAAAAGAAGAAGTGCTCAGTGTTTGCGGAAGTAAACATGGAGGCTAACGGTGGAGCTTAGCTTACATATTTGAAGTTGTTGTCCGGCCGGAGCAGCATATTAATAACTTAATCCTCATATTGTCCATCATGGTTGTTGTTTTTCTTCCCGCTTGCGCGTATCAGGACACAGAATAGTGAGATTTGTTGAGTATCAGTGACATTCAGTTCGGATGAAGGCGACCTGAACGTTAGGTCGCATTAGAATCGGATACGTATCGGATATGGGTCACATTCGAAAAAGAATCCGACCTGTGCTGTTCACACTGCCATGAAAAGATTGGATACAGGTCGCATTACGTCAAAAAAATCGGAATTGGGTCACTTCAGGCTGCAGTGTGAACGCACCCAAGGAGTTCATTCAGAAAATTCTTGATAAAGACCAAGCTGAACTAGCACTCCCTTTATAAGAAGGTAAAGAACACTGGCATCTTCCAACATTTGGTGTCTACCACCCAAAAAAACCAGGACAGATCACAGTGGTGTTTGATTCAAGTGCTGCATATGAATCAGAAGGAGCGTCTTTAAATGATGTACTTCTAAAGGGCCCAGATTTGAACAACACTCTGAGGTTTCGAAGAGAACTGGTAACTGTCTCAGCAGATGAACAGGAGATGTTCTACTGTTTTCTTGTCAGAGAGGATCATAGAGATTATCTCAGTTTCCTCTGGTATGAAGATAACAACCTTGACAAGAGCATTGCAGAGTACAGAGTGAAGGTCCACGTGTTTGGAAACACACCATCACCTGCCGTTGCTATATACTGCATGAGAGGAGCTGCTGAAAAGGGTGAGAATGAACACGGTTCTGATGTAAGACAGTTTGTGGAGAGACAGTTTTATGTTGACGATGGACTAACTTCAGTGACCACACCTGATGAAGCAGTGGACCTCCTGAAAAGGACGAAACAGATGCTTGCAGAATCCAATATAAGACTGCACAAGGTAGCATCAAACAGCAACCAAGTCATGGAAGCATTACCTAAAGAAGACCGAGCAAGTGACCTGAAGGAGTTGGAGCTTGGTGCAGATCCACTCTCTCTCCAGTGCAGCCTTGGACTTTCTTGGGATTTAGAAACTGACAACTTCACATTTCAGGTTTCAAGCGAACCAAAGCCATTCACTAAGAGAGGAATTCTGTCAACAGTAAATAGTCTCTTCGACCCTTTGGGATTCGTGGCCCCAATAATAATGCAAGGAAAAGCACTTCTGCACGAACTTTCATCACAACAAGACGAGTGGGATTCTCCACTACCTTCTGAGAAAGAAGCAGAATGGAACGCATGGAAAAACTCTCTGAAAGCCCCGGAGGACCTACACAGTAGGATAAGTTATTTCCCCATTTCACCCACATCACTGCAAAAGAAAGAGTTATGCATTTTTTCAGATACATCTACACTCGCGATAGGAGGAGAAGCCTACATGAGAGCAGTTGATGTTGATGGAACATACCATGTTGGCTTTGTCATGGGTAAGTCCAAGCTGGCTTTGGAGCCAGCCTGCATACACCATTCCATGCCTTCAACTCTGTGCTGCTGTGTTGGCTGTACAGTTGTATGAGGTGATCCAAGAGGAAATGGATGTCAGTGTGGATGCAGTTACGTTTTTTACAGACAGCAAGATTGTGCTTGGCTACATCTTCAAGAAGATTTGATGTGCATGTGTCCAACAGAGTGGCAAGAATCAGGCAATCCTCTTGTCCAAACCAGTGGTGTTATGTTTCCACAAATCAGAACCCTGCAGACCACGCTACCCGGTTTACTGCAACAGAGTGCTTACAACAGACCAGCTGGTTTACAGGTCCCAGTTTTTTGACATCAGACTCTGTAGAAAATCCCCCTGAAACCAACAACTTTAGTCTGGTGGAACCTGAAACGGATGTTGAAATCTGACCCATTGTGACAGTTATGACTACCAACACCTCATCAGGTCAGCTAGGTGTTCACATCAATTTGAGCGATTCTCAGATTGGACAAGACTCTGCAACACAATTGCCAGACCCATGAGTGTTGTCGTTTCCTTCAAGAAGAACCATAAGGATGCAAAATGTGAAACAGGGAAACGTGTTATGAAAATACCCAATACGATGGAGCTCAAAAAGGCTGAAACTCTAATCATTTATGTCATCCAACAAGAGGCTTTCAAAAAGGAACTTAAGTTTCTTGAGAAGGAAGAGACATTTACTAAACAAAGCCCACTTCAGAAACTTAATCCTGTGAAGGACAGTAAGGATTTGCTGAGAGTTGGAGGTCGTATTTCATCTGCAGAGATGTCAAACGAGGAGAAACATCTGCTGATCATTCCTCGAACATGCCACATTGCCACATTACTTGTGAGATTTTTTCATAAGGAGGTGGCTCACCAAGGTCGCCACATAACAGAAGGAGCTATTCGAGCCGCCGGCTACTGGATTATTGGAGCCAAGCGTCTAGTGTCTTCTGTAATCCATAAATGCGTTATCTGCCGCAAGCTACGTGGACATCTACAAAATCAGAAAATGGCAGATCTGCCTACAGACAGACTTACACCTGAACCTCCATTCACAAATGTGGGCCTTGATGTCTTTGGACCATGGACCATCAGTACACGTCACACGAGAAGAGGAAGTGCTAATAGTAAATGGTGGGCCGTCCTTTTCACTTGTATGTCAACCAGAGCTTTGCACATAGAGCTGGTGGAATCCATGTCAACAGATAGCTTTATCAAGGCTCTGAGGAGATTTTTTGCTATCCGTGGTCCTGACAAACTTCTCCGATCTGACAGAGGAACCAACTTTGTGGGTGCATGCAGAGAACTGAACATCAGCTCCAAACATGCAGCGGTTGAATCCTATCTCCAAAGCAAAGGATGCACATGGATTTTTAACCTGCCGCATTCATCACACATGGGTGGTTCATGGGAGAGACTTATTGGTGTAGCGAGATGTGTTCTGGATGCTATGTTACTCCAATCAGGACACAATCATCTCACACATGAGGTTTTGAGCACTCTCATGGCTGAAGTCATGGCTATCATGAATGCCAGACCTCTGGTGCCTGTGTCTAATGATCCTGAGATGCCAACCATCCTCACTCCAGCTATGCTGCTTACTCAGAAGACAAGCACAGTGTCAGCTCCTTCTGGTGAATTCAAGATGGGTGTTCTCCAAGGTAAACAATGGAAACATGTTCAGTGTCTTGCAGACACATTTTGGAAGAGATGGAAACAAGAATAGTTGTCCACTCTACAAGTGCGCAGGAAATGGACTCGGCAAGAAAGAAATATAAAGGTGGGAGATGTTTTGCTTAAAGACAGTCAAGCCCACAGGAACGACTGGCCCATTGAGATCATTGTGAAAACCTTACCAAGCAGCGACAGGATCGTACACCAGGTAGAAGCGAAGATAACAAAAGGAGGGCATGCCAAGATTTTCCTCAGACCTGTCTCAGAAATTATTGCTCTGCTTTCTGAAGGCATTTGAATGGACAGAGAATTGTCCATTCAAATGTCCAGTGTGCTGACTCCATCATTAAGTTTTGTTTAGTTTTCCAATGTTAAATTGTAAGTGAAAATATAGAGCCTTAGTGACACCTAGTGGACATTGTTCACATATTTAATTTGGTCAGTCAAGCAGAACTCGTCCAGCTGGTGCATGGTGTCATCGATTGTCCTTCAGACACGTTTGTTCCTTGGACACTACAGGTACTTCTCAAAAAATTAGCATATTGTGATAAAGTTCATTATTTTCCATAATGTAATGATAAAAATTAAACTGTNGTCGCATTATGTCAAAAAATCGGAATTGGGTCACTTCAGGCTGCAGTGTAAATGCAACCTAACAAATGCTTTTACTAGCGATTCACTGAGAAGTAACTCCTATAACGAGCTCAGCTGATTGTCCACCTGACGTTTGCTAATTGCTCCTGGCTAGTCTGAAGGAGCTGAGAGGGTGAGGGCTGCTCTGTGAGGCGGAAGTTCAGTAGCTTGGAAACTGCAGCTCTCAGGATGAACGTTGAAGGTGGATCTATGTCCATTCAAGCATTTTGCACAGCTGAATGGTTGCCATGGAGATTAAAGGCTTTCTCAAACATGCATGAATGAATCGAGCATTAAAACATGACGTAAAGCTCAAAAAAGTTGATTTTTACATAAAACTCAGTCATATTTTAGACATGTCGCTGCATAATTCAGCCTTTGGACTTGATGAAACACAGTGAATTAACACCCAGCTGGTTACATGGTTCCTCAAATTATCTCAAACGGTGGAAACTGCTAGTGTGGCCCATGTCTTTCTGAATCGCATCTTTCTGTTGTGGTTCTCATGGTTTGTCTCAACTGAAGTTTTGAATGTTCTTTCCTTTGCAATACTCTCAAGTCCACATTTATCTCCATGTTTTCTGCATTATCTTTTGCCACATTTTTCCTTCCACTCAACTTTCTGTGCTCTATCACAGCCAACTTTTTTCAGCGATTATTCAGTGATTAAAGAAGACAGTCTCTCTAATGATTGGATATCTTATATTTCTGTTTAAAAGATGCAACTGTGTTGGTCTAGCTATAGGTAAAGGTCATATTAATCCAGATTGACAGAAATAAAAAAAACATTCTATGTTGCTATGAAAACAGTTACTTTTCTACCAGAGACTTTCTTTGTTGAAACTTTTAAACGTTTATTTAAACATAACCAGCGTTTCCAAATAGATTTAAAAGGACTAAAAAAGTCAATAAAAGGGAATCAAGAAAATATAAAATATACAAAGCAATTAAATAATGTAAAATAAAGTATTAAGAGAGTGGCGTGTAATGTTTTCATCAATTATCTCACCACAAGATGGCGCTCTATTCAAGCTTTTGTTGCGCCATTGATCTGATTTATCACCAGAAAAGTTCATGCTGTTCTTGACACATTACACATGCTGAATGTTGGGGAAAACATTGAACTGCTGCTTAAATAACAATTCAATAATAATAATCCTTCACATTAAATTCTATTAGTTTTCCATTGATCAGTGAAAACAAAGCAGCAGAAAAAGAACAAATAAGAAACCAAATAAATAAAAACTAATTTAATCCTTAACAAGTTGCATGAATAGTAAAATAGCTTTAGGGAGTTGGCTTCAATTAACCCTCACTGAACCGAAAGAGTCAAACTTAAAATCTTGGACAAGCATCTGTTTGGTTCTGCTGAACCCGACACACCGGTACCAACCCTGAAATGTGTCATATTTAGGAAGCTAATGTGCCAAACAATAACAAGGTAATTTAATTACTGTGAATTAATAACACAACCCAGTCCCATTGTGTTTTCCAGGAATCAGTGTTTTTTCTTTCCACACTAAAGCAAATAAATAAATGAAAACACTAAACTAAACTTTATAATAAGACAGAAACCATTGCAACTAAATCCACAGTCTAATTATTAGAATAAAAAATGTTTTCCACAATGTTTACATTTTGCATTCAGTGACATAAATCTGTATTTTCAGCTTTAAACATGGAAAACATGGACAAGCTTAGGATTTTTGTGCAGAAAAATGAATATTTTCTTACTGCATTTGCTGATGTCACAGCTCTCTCTCTCTGTTTCCGGGTCGGTGGTGTAACACCACGGCACCGGAGAGGCGTCCGGGTTACGGCAGTAATTATCATCTAAGCTCTTGTCAGGGTACCTGAAATAGAAACACATTACATTAAAACATAATAAAAGATTAAAACCAAATATTAAGCAGCGATGATGAAACTGCCACCACAATTATTTGCACCTCTTGTAAAGATATATTTTATCTTACTGTCGTTTCTACACAAGATTTTATTATTTTTCTGACTGAATATATTGGTCAGTTCAGTTTAGCAGCTATTCTCTACATTTATGTGGTTTACTTTAGAAGACATGTTTTGTCTTTTCCATTTCAAACAATGTCTACAAAGAAATAGGTTTCAATTTTGTATCCTACAAAAACAGAAATGCCTGGATACATTTTTGAAGGTAGTAAAAGTTCCTCAACACTGAACATGAAACGGTAGCAGGTAGATAATCTAAAATTTGTCCAGTTTCATTTATCCTGAAAAAAGTAAATTATTTGAGCTACCAAAAGGTGCAGATGATTTAAAACAAGATTATTTCATAATGCCCCCATGTCTATGCTAATAAAAATGTTACTTTACCTTAAATTTCTACCCTGAGGTGCATTTCTTAACTACTCAAACACAGCCGAGTGTAAAACTAAACTAAACTTTAAACTTTAAAGATCATTACTTCATCTGCTGTGCGTGTATTTTACTCAGTGACATCACAAGAGGCACAGGAATCAAAGGTTCAGCTAGCATAGCGTTAGCTAACACCTGGGGGATTTTTGACTGAATTTGACAGACTCTAATGCATTTAAGTTGCACATGAAGGAGTTTAACCATAAATGAACCAAAGTTTTACTCTGATGACTCCCGCGCCTTGGAGGATACTGCCACTGATGATAAAGTAAAAGCCAGAGCTAAAGCTAAGGTAGTTTTTTAAACTACAGCTGGTGTTATTCTGATTCTGAAAACACTCTAATCTACATATATCACCTTAAACAGCTACATTATTTCCCTTTACAGTAAGAAGAACTGCAGGTAGACTGAACCCTGCTCATATTCCCAGAGCAACTTCTCTGTTCCTCTGAGGATGGAACATTTTTATTTATTATCTCCTCTAGTTTGCCTGGAATTATCCATCAGCTAATAATGACACAATAATGGCTGAATATCTTCCATAATGAAATTTGGCCTTTTCACAAACTGCTTCTAGGTTTTTATTATTATTATTATTATTATTATATTGGACGATCTTATCGAAATCCATGTTAAATTTTCTCCTAGCGCACAAATGTTTTGCTACGGCTATAAGGTAAATGGAAATGGAGAAATTTGATTGAAAACATGCAAAAATGGGAGGAAAGACATTTCTGCAGAGGATTTCAAATAAGTTGCCTTATACCTTTTGTGATGTCATCCAAGGATATTGCACATGGAAGCTTAAATTGACTGTTTATCCTGATTGAAAAATTTAAAACTGAATACCTGGAAAAATAGCAAAACCACAACGTATTTCCCTATCGGTGACCAGCAGCATCTAAAGAATAGCAATGCATTGCAGCAAAGAAGCCAATCAATTTGGTAAGCTCACTAACTGCAGAGCAGCCATGCATGAACATGTACTTTTCAGGCTGGTAGATGTGTTGATGAGGGAATTGCTGATCCCATCTCTGGCACTCTTTGCCGCTCTCAGTGTGATCCACCTGGCCTCGGTAGTCTTCTCCATTGCAGGTGATGCACACCTCTGCACACACAGGCAGACATTTTTATACAAGCAATGAGAAAAACTCCTCAAAAATAAGCAAACCAGTACATCATTTGTTGCTAATAGAGTTACACTTTTTTAAAAATTTGTTATAATCTATTTGTAAAACAAAGTAAAAAGAACAGGAATTTATTAATTTTTCTGATAAGGATCTGGGTTTTTTAGGCAAATGTTTTTACAAAGATGCAGAAACTCAGAAAACTGCAGCCATGTTTTCCGTGCACATGATATTTCAACAAATCAAAAGCTCAACAGATCAACAGTGTGTTTTTTAGTTTCTCTTCCCATTGAAGTCGTACATATAACAATCTTTTTTTGCAAAAACATGATTTTTACAAAAATTATCTTTTTCTTATTCGGTGAAAATTAGTGAGAACCAGAATTTTTCTGTCAACGACTTTTTTTTTTTTTTTTTCAGGCAGATGTCTTTACAAAGATGCAAAAACTTGCACTCAAAGCTGCACCATATTTTCTGTACAACATTTCAGCTGCGCGTTCTTCGGTTCTCCATCCTGTCAGAGTCGTACCGTCTTTGCACTGTGGGATGTTGCAGCTTTCGTAGCGCCGCTCCGGGTCGGTGGTGTAGCACCACGGGCCGATCCGATCCCCATCCGGGTTCCTGCAGTAGTTCAGCTCCAGACCGTTGGTAGGCGAAGGAGTCCATCTGAGACAAACAGGGTGACGGATTGACCCACATAAAGTGTGGGTGGTGACATTCACTTTACACGCTCACGGCGGCTGGATAAACAGGACTGAGAGAGAAAAGCCGCAGCGCTCTGATGAGTCACTGCCATGTTTGTTTTAGTAAAATCTACAGAGATCTGGACGTTTCACCTGCAGTTGCACAATTTGGGTTTCCCATGAGGCTGGCACACAGTGTGGCGAAAACAACTATTCAAATGTTTAACCAGAGTAATCAGACCATCTTTATTTATGATATCTGTTTCTCTTTACATTATTTTGATGTGTCTTTTGCATGTTTATGAAGAAAACCGGGACCAGATTGCTTCTGAACTGCTTTCTTTCTCTCATCTTTTTGACGTTAACATTGGTTAGACTGGAAACTGATGGCAAAAAGAAAACAGATAATCCAACTTTTAAAAAATTTAGTTAATAAGAAGTAATTAAATCAAGTTTAACCGAGTAAATATGTTAAGTTTAAGTTGCCATGTTAAACAAATGTAAATAACTTAAGTTTGACCAATTTTATTCAATTACATGCAACAAATTAAGTAAATATTTTAAGTTGTGCCAACTTAACATTAAGATTTTAGTTGTTGCCCATGTTTTGTTTTTGCAGTGCATTCTATGGAAATCATTCAGATTTACTGTCAAGTTTTGATATTTTGCTGTAAAAAACAGATTTATGTACACTTATTTCTTAATAAATATTACAAACAGAAACAGGAATTAGATATTCTATTTTTTTTTTCATTTTGTTAGTTTGAAGTTAATATTTTTCTGTTTCCTTCACAGATGTATTTAGTTTTAAGCAATCAAAGCAAAAACCGGATCTTCCAAAAATAACCATAGAGTAGAGTATCCTTTATCTGTGTTTATATATTTTTAATGTTTGAAAGAAGGTTGTTTTTTGTTAAATAAATGTAAGATAGGGATATATAAGGAATACAACTTGACATTTCTCAGTAAAGAACTGACTACATGACGATTTGTCATTTTTTAAATTATTTGTTTGTCACATTGGAGTTTAAAGGTATTTTAATATTTTATTCAATTCAAATATAAATTATTAATTATTTATCAAGATAACCTCAATCACAATTAATAATAATAATTAAAATAATAGTGACACCTCTAATTTTGATAATAATTAAAATAATTAATAATTAAGTTTGTCAACAAATCAAATCCTGAATGTGGTGATAATAAATCAGTTCATCTCATCTTTTGCCAAAGTTTTTTTAATCATCTAAATCATCTTTTGGCAATAAAAACAGCAATTTTCCTTTTCTTTTTTTTTCTCATTTTTATGCAAATATCAGTTTTGGCAAAAGAAAGAAAGTGAATATTCTTGGTATTTTTAAATAAATCATTTGTAAAATCAAATTGACAGAAGGAAATATTAGAGATAAACTCTAAATAAGTGATGTCTTTAAAAAAAAAACCTCTATTCGAAGCATGTTTATGATACTTACTGACTTGCACAAGAGAAACAAATCACCTGTGATCGTGAGGAAACTTTGACCACCACTGCTGGCAGGTGAGTCCACTTTTTGTGGTGAAAACTTTCCCCCGGTAGTCTTCCCCTTTACCTACAATGCACTTCCTTACATAAACTGCAAAAAACAAAAAAAAACAAAGCAGTTATGTTTAAAAAAACAAAAAAAAAAAAAACTATTTCTGCAAAGCTGATTTTCACCAGTCACCTCTTCACCTTTCTTCTCGTAAAGATCACAGTTGACGTTTCTCTTTACTTCTGCGTTGCTTCCGTCGGCCACCCAGGGCAGATGTTTACAGGTGCCAACTGGACGAATCTCATAGTTGAAAGCTCTGGAGATGAGAAATGTTTTTCAGTGTTTTTTACAACCAGATAAATTACTAGTTATGCATGTTTGGAGAGGGAAACTGTGAGCGATGTTATCGGGTGTGGGAGATTTAGTGTCTAGCTGCAAATCAGGGAGGAAATGTGTGCAAATAAAACACCTTTTTGTCACAAACAAAGCTATGAAAAGTAACTTTGAGGACAAAAGTATATCTCACAGACTGTTTCCCTATTTAGGAGCTTCGGCAACTGCTCAAACTTCCAACTCTGACAGATATGGATGAGGGGTCTAATGCTGAATTTGCATCATGATTATCACGATGTAACATGGGGGGGAAAGTGTGCGTGGATCGAGTTTCTCCTCTCTTTGGGCAGCAATTAAGATGTTTAAAGTGACAGCAGGAGATAAAATTAGCCTGGAAGAGGACAGCGTTTAGTGTAGGCTGATGGCAAGACACGTTCTGCACATGCAGGCTATGTTGGCGCTTGTTTTCTGCTCACTTTTTAGAAAACCCAACTAGAAAATGCTGCAGAAATCCATAATGTTTATGTTTAAAGTGAGCATAAAAAGAGACTGGAGAAATTTTACTTAAAGAGGTTCAAATTATTGTTATTTTGTTCTGAAAAATTCCAGTGTAACTAGCAAACAGGGATACGTTCACACAAATTAACCTAATTTATGAGCTTTATGAAAATTTAGTTGGGCAGAAAAGTGCGCTTCACATCTCTGCTGACTTCATTGATATCTGAAAGCAAAACCTTTGGTTTTAATATAAATACTGCTGAATATATTGACCCTTGCAAAGGTTTTCAACCACACTAAACTTCTTTTGTATTTGGTAACAACCACTGACTCTGATGTGTTTTATTGGGGATATCAGAAAGCACTGGTTGTGTTTTTCATGTTATATCTGAGAATATACCAAAAAAGAAATATATATATCTACCAGACTGAATTTTAGGCCCATTTTTCTTGTCAAAACAGCACAAGTGTAACTAAATTGAAAGGAGAGAGTCTGTGAACATAATGTTTACATTTTTGTAAAGTATTGTCAATTGGTTTTATGTTTAGACTTTGACTAGGCCATTCAACTACTACTTTGTAGTTCTGGTTTTATATTTAGGTAAAACAAACAAACAAACAAACAAACAAGTAAACAAATAAAAACTAAATCAAGCCCAGTGTAAGTCTCTTGCAGCCTCTAACAAGCTTTACTTTCCATAAATTTCCTGTAGTTAACCATATTCCCAAAGAAAACAATTCCCACAGCATGATGCAGCCGCTACCACACTGAAGACAAGGGATGGTGTGTATTGAGAGAAATGCGAAGCAATTCTTGTCTGCAGACGGTGCGGTTTCACCTGCAGTCCTGGGATTGCGAGCAGCGGCTTGCGCACTCCTCCAAGTTCAAACCCGGCAACATCTGCATCCGAGCTGCGTTCCAGGCGGTGGGTACGAGCTCCCTGCCCTCGGAGCGCTGGTAGTCGTTGAGAGAGCTGCGGAGCGCTGTTCACGTACAGCAGAACCCCAGACATAATGCAGATGTGAATGTGTTGATGCTGATAGAAACGGTCAGCAGCAGATCAGTGGCACCATCAGGAACATTCGGACATGACCCTGCACACATGCAACCTTTGGACCAAGACTCTCCTGCTGCTGTTTTGTGTATTGTGACAAAGGAGAGCTTCAGATAGCTGCATGTTTGCACTTAGCTGCTGAAACACACCTAATACTTTTGTCATTTTTCATCATATACCCAAAACAAATCAATCTTCTAACTATTTACTGGGAATTATCGATTACTTTTTCTGATTTCAATTTTCTAAATCCTACTTTCTGTCTGTGATGCAGCTTAATTTCAGCGTAAATCTGGTAAAGTGTCTCTAAAAGTAAATATATTTAAAGGTTTTAACTTAGTTTAAATTTGGGAAAACCCAGGATCTTACCAGTAGTCAATCCAGTAATCAGGAGAATACAGAGCAGAAACGGCTTCATTGTTTGCTTCTGAGGAAGATAGCACTCTTTTGTAATGATGCTATTATCAACTCTGATTTAATTACAATGAGGTGAGTCTGAATTTTGCACTTCTGACCACAAGCCCACCTCAAATAATTTTAAAAACAATAAAAACCCTTAAAGGTTCAATAAATCGTCAAAAATCTTCACAGAAAGTCAGAAAGCAGAAATCCAACAGCCCAGCGCAGAGCACTAAGCCGCTAACCAAACAGTAGCCTTAATCCCCCAAACAGCTAATCAATAAGCTTATTAATCATTAATAAGCAGTGACACATCGCCCTGTGGGCTGTAGTTGTCCAGAAAGCCGCTAGGGGGCAGTAGGGTCTTTTTTTAGCTGTGTTTTCCTTCTTCTCATTTCCCGGGGAGTTAAAGTGAAACTGCTGCTGCTTCCTTGTTCGCATCTTCTTATTTTCTCCAGATTAATCATCGCTGTTCGGGTAAGAAATGCTCACATTCTCACCGCGGTTGTCATGAAGGTGCAAATTGCGCGAACTAAATGGAAAATGAGTTAAAGTGGACTTTGATCAAACTCCGAAACTCTGCAAACTTTTTCACGGTGCAGTGATCACACATCAGCTGCAAGCAGTAGAAAGAAAAACATGTGGATGAACAATAAATGGAGACATAAAGCAGATAGACGATGTTGCTTTTTGTGTGTGAACGGCAGATTACCTGCGCGGCAGGTAATCTGCAACCTGTGATTTTATTGCCAATCCCTTATAAATCAGCAGGAAGTCACTTCATCCTATTGTTTCTCCACCGCTGTATCAGCGGGAATACTTTAGTTTTTGATGCAGTCTCAACAGGTGTTCCAACACTTATCAGAGCTTTTCTAATTTCTGCTTTGGCTCCACTGAGTCTGGAGTCTTTCTGTGCTGGAAAGTGTTGACCCATGCTCCACATCATCCATTAAATATTTCTCATTTTTACCCTACTTTTGTATAGATTTGTGTCATTTTACTTTATTGCTTCTTAAAAGTATTCACTACCGTAGTTTTTTACAGCCTGTAATGGATTACAAAGCCTTTTCTTTGGCTTTGAGGCTGTAAAATCCCAGAGCTCAAAAAAAAAAAATTACACCAAGAGCGTGTAGTTCTGCAACAATGATCCATAACACGTCGAAGTCCACCTCTGAGTTACGTAAAGCAAACAAACAGAAAAAGATTAAAGTTGCACACTGGTCTAGTCTAAGCCTTTACTAAAACGAAGCACAGATTATTGATTAAGCCATTAATTATCAAAATCTCATCAATATGGTTGAAATAAAAGCATTCTGCAGAGACGAGTGGGACAAGATGTCTCCACAGCGATGTTAAAAACAGAAATGTATCTAAGTGTAAAAATAAGGCGTGTTAAGATGTAACACGCCTTATGTTACATTTTAACATAAGGCGATGCAGGTTTGCATAGCTTTTTCCCTAATAAATAAAAGAAATCATGACTAAAAAAATGCTTTTTGCATTTACTCAGGTAAAAATCAGTTTGAAGATCTGAAACATTTAAATTTAGCAAAGCAAAAGAATAAAAGTTTGAAGGGGAAAATAATTTGTTTTCGAAAATGCTATTCAAGGTAACAATTAATCTGAGATGCTGATATGTCACTTAAATTTTAAAGAATATTTCTCACAGAAGGATTAAAGAATATGAATAAACAAATTAATCTGACTTAATGGCCGCTTATCAGTTTTAAGATGTTTTTGTTTCATCATTTTTATCCATTGAGTTTTGCTTTAGAAAGTAGCGATACCATAAATAAGTCCTCCTGGGGACAGAAAAGGTTTTTATTTTAAATCTGTACTCTGTGCTTCCAGTTCTGCACGTTTGACTGTTTCCCCATAGATTTAAATTAATCAGCCACTGGTTCTTGCAGAAAATGATGAGCTGATATTTCAACCATTCATGCAGGTGTGCTCCAGCAGAAACACTCCTCTCTCTCTCAGAGGGTTCAGAGTTCAGACTGTGCAACTTAAAGTTATGGGGTTTCCTGTTTAATTCGGCTGGATTTGGTTGTTCCTCTCCAGGATGTCGGCTGTAAAGATGAGCGAGGGCAGTGTGGAGGTGGAGAGCTGCAAAGCTCCACTTTTCTACAGACAGAGCGAGCCGGCCGCGGGAGAAGCAAAGATGTCGGTTCTTCTCCTTCATGGTATTCGTTTCTCATCGGAGAACTGGCTCAACATCGGCACTCTGGAGACGCTGGCCAAAGCCGGCTGCCGAGCGGTCGCCCTCGACCTGCCAGGTGCGTCCAGTGTGAACAAACGTCAGATCAGTCAGTCAAAGCACTTCGGTAGTTGCTTCACAAATGCTAAAACTATTGTCATGCGGATGCATACAAATACACTGAATATAAGACAATAAAAGTTAAAGGGGCAGTATTATGTATTTTCCAGGCACATAGAGCCGTTTCATTACATAATCAAATAATTGTTGTCTGCAGATTTTATTTAAAAAAAGCCAAATATGACTTGAAATCAATGTGGGTTTGTAATTTAACGCCTTGAAATTGGACCTCTGTCTGTTTTTGAGACGCCACGTTCAGGAAGTCAACACAATATTGCTCCACTATTAAGCCTTTAGCAACATTTTTACCAACATTGCACTGAGAAGCAGCTCGTATAATGAGCTAGGCTAACGTGCAGCTCCACCAGCTAATTGGTGCTGGCTAGTCTGGAGGAGCTGAGAGGGGGAGTTACACAGGAGGACTGCTCTGTGAGGCAGAAGTTTGGAAACTGCAGCTCTGAAGGGGAGCTGCGTCTCGGAGGCGGAGCTAGGTCCACTCAGACGTTTTGCACATCTGAATGGAGATTAAAGGATCTCTCTAACATGCATGAAAGAATCAAAACAACAGTCCATGCATGTTTTTGATGAGGGAATAACATAACATGATGGAAAGCTCAAAAAGTTGAGTTTACTTAATCTTTATTTAGAAATAGAAACAACAAAACTCAGAAAACTAAAGGGATATCAAACCGTTTAGACCAGTGATGTACAAACTTTTTGCACTGGGACGACGCTGGCACCTCAGTGGTCAACTTTACCCAATTTAAAACAAAATAATTTTATCTGTGCAGCAATAAATTTCACATGAAACAGAGTAGAAAAGACTAAATTACTATTAGTCCAAATAAGGGTTCTAGATATTTGCCTTTGCAAAAAAAACAAAAAAACAAAAACGGTTTGCATCTTGCTAACTTTTCTGGTTGAATGTTTTCTATTTTGTTGGTCTACAAAACAAATTTCAATCTCCTTTAGGAGTCTTTTCTAAGTCTACTGTGAACTTTCTTGTCCTCAGAACTCGGCCGGTCCAAGTTGGCCAAAGCGCCGGCGTCGGTGGGAGAACCGGCCCCCGCAGCGTTCCTGAAGGAAGTGTGTGAGCAGCTGAGTCTGTGCCCTGTCGTAGTGATCAGCCCGTCACTCAGTGGGATGTACTCCCTCCCTTTCCTCCTGGAGCATCAGCCTCTAATACGAGCCTACGTCCCCGTGGCGCCAATCTGCACTGAAAAATTCACAGCAGAACAGTACCGGAGCGTCAAGGTATTTATGCGAGAACGTGCAGAAAATATGGATTTTTCAAATCTAAAAAAATTTACTCTGTGTGTGCGTTTAGGTCCCGACGCTGATCGTTTACGGCGACCAGGACACTCAGCTCGGAGAGGCGTCGCTCCGTAACCTGAGCAATCTGACGAACCACAGGGTGGTGGTGATGAAGGGGGCGGGACACCCGTGTTACCTTGACGACCTAGACACCTGGCACAAAGCGCTTACCAACTTCCTGGAGACTCTGTGAGGCTCTTCGCTCACTTTCAAACAAAGAAATTCCCAACTAACACGCAAAGGACTGAAAGGAGCCAAACAAACAAATAACTCACAAGATATAAATGCACTACAAAACTACGCTTGCAAATCAAATCACTGGAAGGTTTTGATGTTTAATACATTCAGAAAGTCAGCGGCTTCTGTGACCACTAAGAAAAATGTCAGAAGTTTGATATCTCTACTTTTGCAGTTAACAGTCTGACCAAATCAATGCCCATTAATTATTTATATGAACTGCTTGAGCTTTTTTCCCCCATACTGCCCTCTTGTGGACTGCATCAGTAACTGTAGGAAAGCTTTAACACCTGAACCTGTTTGTAACTAAACAAATACCAGCATGCACGTCTATTAAAAACCATGAGAAATAAAATTAACTCATATAAAGTTTGTAATTATTTAGCTTTAGTATCTGATATATTAACAGGTTGACTGATTGATGGTTGACTGGAAAACAGACCAAACCAGGATGTAGGTTTGGTTCTGGTCATTTGACCCCAGTTTCTGTTTCCATCTTTAAATTATGTTTTATTTACTTATATGGACTCCTGATGCTGCGCTTTGCATCACACCTGAAACCGATGTAAAGAATATCTTACCAGATCAAAAGACTGGATTGTTGCTTTGTGATCCAAACTCATATTTTAGATTTAAGTAACTTTTGCATTTAATTTGGAAACAGAAGTACCAAAAGAAGCACATCATCCAGGTTTCTGGACATCCTCTTATTTTGGGAAGCCCTCTGCTGGTTTTGGTCCACTGTAAGGAAAATACCTGGACAGTTCAGAGCCCAACATTCTCGTCTGCTGACGAGCTTTATGCAGATTTTAATTTCCTGCAGGATTTGACACCTGCCCACACTACCAAGAGTACTGATACTTAAATGGCTGTAGTTTATTTGACAGCAAACATATAATTTAAAAGTTGCTTGAATTCACCTGAATAACATGATTAGGTCATAAACAACGCTCTCTCTAATTGTCTGATGCGTCTGTATCCATAAAGCCATTTACAGCTACTTAATATTTTTGTCCCAAATTTTTTGCCTGCAGACAAATAAACACACCACACAGCTAGATGAAGTGAAAAATATGAACATTATTTAATAACTGATTCTCTGTAATAAACAATTTGAAAATATTTTACAAGGAGTCACAGACACAATATTTTACAAATTTTGCCCTCTTCTTCTTTTTGTTTCATTATTTATTTATTTTTTTTCTTTTAAGCTTCATCTGTACAAAAGAATGGAGCGACATGGACCAGTGCCCAAAAGAGGAGGAGCTAAATCTTCCACGCGCACAAACATTCACGCTCACACACACATACAATAAGTAAAACAAAAACAGAACAAAAAAAAAAAACATTTCGACGTCAGATCTCAAACTTATCAACACTGCTGTTTTCCTATATATAATTTTTTTTACGTCACTTTAACTGATTTAACTCTTTTTTTTTTCTCTAAATGTTGCTGTTTTTTCACACTCTTTGTCAAACATGGTCACATAGCACCAGACTACAGACTACAGAATCACATACGCACGTCTTCCCTACAGAGACGCACCAACACAGAGGCAGCGAGGGTCGCGGGGGGGACGCTCTTTATGAAAACATTGCTTGATGTCTTAAAGCTGATCCCTCCCTCTCATCCCCAAGCTGGTCCAATTTGATATATTTTTTCTGTTTTGTTTTTTTTTTTTGTTATTTTTGGCAAAAGGAAATCTGTCAAACCAGAGAAATCAGATGCGTGTTTCCAGTCGGGATTCACGCAAAGATGAAGCTGCAGGATTCGTCGGTGACCCTCAGTTTGACAGAACCGTGCTGCTCTGTGGAGACCCACTCCCTGAGCTCCCTTCTGACATCACACACAGGGAACAGGGCTCCTACGCAATCTCGAAAAAAAGACACGAAATTATGGGATTTGATCTGAGAATTTTCTCAATCTATGATAAGAAATTGAAGTAATTGTTCCATAATTTGAAGTTCTGGATTCCTGTAAAGCTACTAAACATCCCAACTATTTTCTGACTAAATATAAAGCTCTGGAAAAAATTAAGAGACCACTGAAAATGATCAGTTTCTCAGATTTTACTCTGTATATGTACTCATGTAGATGTTTCAGTAAAATGAACATTGTTCTTTTATTCTATGAACTACTGAGAACATGTCTCTGATATTCCATGCAAAATTTTACTATTTATTTAAATGAGAAATGCTCAAAATAACAAAAAAGATGCAGTTTTTTCAGACCTCAAATAATGTAAGGAAAACAAGTTCATATTCATTTAGAAACAACAACACTGATGTTTTAACTCAGGAAGAATTCAGAAATCAACATTTGGTGGAAAAACCAGGAGTGTATTTTTTCCAGAGCTGTATTTCTAAAATTGACAAAGTTTGCACCACATGTCAGTAAGAAACCAAATAATCCACACATACAAAGAAACGAACGCAAATTCATTTAGAAATTATGTGAAAAATGTATAAAGACACAGAGAATAAACGTTGATGACTGTTCAGAAAGCAATCCTGCCCCCTGATGGTGCCAATTAATATCATTTGGTTTAAGCCTAATTCATGGTCCATCAAAAGGTTTTCCCATTACCATTGCTGCACAAGAAACATCTAATCTGCATCTCTAAATCTTTAAATGTTCCAGTGCACCGCTGGATCCACAATCAAAAAGTAGAAAGAAAATTATTTCACCTTAATCCACATCATTATTGAAGAGAGATAAAACAATAAGAATGATTCACAGAGAGCTTCCAAAATACCTGGGATCAGTAGGTGGAGTGGTTTCATACAAAACATCTATCGTCTCTATTACAGTCATTGCACAAGACTCCACTGCTGAAGAAAAACTACGCATCTTAACTATTCTGCGTAGCTTTTGAAAAAGTTGATCAAATTCTCGGAGAATCACTGGACCGACAGTGAAGTTTTGAGGAAGTAACGTCGTGGTGAGGGGTTGAGAAAAACTTTGACTAGAGGAATGGAGAAAAGATAAAACAGTAGAGGGGATGAAATTCACTTTAGCACATTTTAGCAGGCATGTCTTATACTTATTCCCTGTGCTAATTCATACTGTATGTGTGGGTCACTTGGGTTCATGTCATCTGGTGAGAACTAGTTCCAGTAAAATTACATATTTACTGAGAAAAATTTTCATATTAAATCTTTCTTTTGCCACATCTCAACATGAGTATTTGTGATAACACTTTATTAGAAGGGGTGTGCATAAGATTGACATGTCATAAACATGACATAACATCTGTTATGAGCATGAAGGAGTCTTCATTAATGGTTATGACTGATATCATGAAGTGTCATTTGGCAAATAATGACACTTTTAATGCAAAGTTGTACTAAAAGTTGCATGTAAAGTCCAACTTTGCATTTAAAGTCTCATTTACTGAATGACACTTCATGACAAGAATCATAACCATTCATGAAAACTCCTTCATGTTCATAACAGGTGTTATAACATGTTTATGACAGTATTACGCCAGTCTTATGCACACCCCTTCAAATAAAGTGTTACCGTATTTGTTAACTTTGATGATTTTTAATTTTGAGTTGCATATAAAGGCACAGTTAGTCGTAGATAAAAATGGGCCATTTTACAGGTTTGTTGGCCTCATGACACCAAACTGCGATAAATCAAAACGTTACAGATCAGAATTGGCTTTAAAGACTCTGGACTTGGTACAGGATGATCTAGTTCTGATCGAATAACTCTTAATTTAAATACATTCAGTCCAGATTCCCCAACAAACATTTAAACATTTTACTGTACCGATGAATCAAAAATTCAGACGATGATTTGTTGGGGTTAAGGTTTTGTTCTTCAATGTGGCAAAAACTACAAACAGGAAAAGTATGAAAGTTTTGAGATCGGTAGGAACCCTGCAAAAAACACCTATGGATCGACGTCCCTTTCTTCCGTCCGCCCACCGGCTCAGCGTCTCCCAACTGGGCACGAATAAGTGTCATTACCACGTCTGCTTGCAGGTGTGTGTGCACAACGTCTCAGTGCAGGTGCACAAAGTGTAGGTTTTCATATTTAGTGTACGGATCCTGGAAAAGAGGGGAAGTAGCAGGGGGTACATTTCCACAGGCACGTGTTTAGCGTTCATTTACAGACAGTGGAAATAGGGAATTACAGACAGAATTAATGGCACAGGACAGAGACAAACAAATGCCAGGAAAGTAAAACTGCATCAGGCATCAAAAGACGCCAAAAGAGTCCAATTGATAATGCTCATCTTTAAATTTAGCTCCTTTAACAGTCTCTTTCTTTCTCTTTTTTTTTTGTCTCAGGTTTACTAGGAGCTGAGCTGCAGTTACTGTGCCAGCATGATTTGTCACATCAAATAGTACCGACGACTGTACAGAGTGTGTGGTGAAAGTTCAAACTGTTGCATGACTCATTCTCACCTGAGCTGCACAGTGAGATCTGAGTGGGTGTGAACATCCAAGGTCAGAGGCTTTTAAAACGGGAAATCTCCCACCCGCGCTCAAGCAGTTTTAATGCAAACATGCATCGATCAACAATTCATTAGGAGAGAAACATATGTTAAAAAATAAAAATCAGAGTTCAGTGCACCTTAATGCATAACACTAAGAAAAGTCTGTGGAGGGAGTATTTTAGAATCGGTTAGGATATCCATGAGAAACGGGGTTTAAGTGGGGAATCAAAGCTCCTCACTGAGTAACACTAAGGCATTTAAAACGGCTTTGATAACTCTTTAGCATTCAGACAGAAAACACTAAACTACACATTCTGCACCTCCTCTATATCAACATTTAAATAGAGCGACACCTATCAGTTCTGGTCAGAAGTTTACATGCACACCATCTGTGTATATCCCATGGATTTAATGAATCATTCATTTTGCTGGAAAACGTTGTGATTGTTAAACATGTCAGTTTACGTTGGATATTTTCTAGTTCTAGTTCCTTCCATCCCTGGTTGGATGTTTGACCTTTCCTCTTGGCAGGATTGGTAGAGCTCATTATAAACTGTTAGATAGAAGCATAGATCACACATTTTAAAGTCAGTGTAATTTCAGAAATGTATTGTTAGCCAGCTTTATCCATTGAAAATCTGGTTCTCATTTGGGATTTTTGTCTTGTTGGGACTTCCACCTGTTTCAAATTCCTCAGTCACTTAGATGTTGATTTCTACTGAAGTCGAGTAATTTTGAGGTAGTCCCTCTTCATAATTGTTGCACACTACAAAAAACACCAAATCCTGCCAAGTACTTGTGACTTGGTTCAAGTGTAAATGCCTCCGTGCTCTTGAAGACAAGTGACATTTCAGCAAGATGTAGGAGCTTGTTTTAAGTCAATAATTGATGACTGATTGACTTTGGGACATAACGGATCATGTTTAAAAGCCACGTTTGTATCAGAAAACCAGTCAGCTTGATTAAATCCTACCAACAATGCCATGAAGAGAAGTCCATTTCTAGCCAGAATTATGCAAAATGTATGTGCAAAATATGTTTATCCAACTATTAAATGTAACCAAATAATACATTTGAGACTGAATTATTGTTCATCCAAAATCACAGAGGTGATATGTAATTATTCTCAGAATGTAGGGCTGAATGATATGGCTGAAAAAACAATATGAGAGTTTCATATCAATTGATATCAATAATGTTTGATTAGATTTTGTTTTAAATATATGAAATACTACCAAACTGGTGGCGTGACAGTTCCTGTTCTGAGCAGGAACCTGAAACTGTTGCTCCGCAAGTTGCTAGGTAACCAGAAGTTCTCAAGTTGTTGCTAGGTAACCAAAGAGCGAGCGAGTTACTAAATGCCGCACATCCTTCTTAGCTGTCCTTGAGAGGTTGAGGGGCTAAAACTGATCCTCTGCTTAAATTCCCAGAATGCTGTGCGGTTCTAGACCAGAGTTCAGTGAAATCCCATCAGACGTATCATCTATTGGTACTGATCACGTGTTTATTACGACTTACATTGTCATCGGTTTATTGTCCAGCCCTATAAGAACGATTCAAATCCATCGATACCAAATCTGATATGCAGACGAAGCTCTGCGACTTCATGTAAACTCGCGACCGGAACGTAACGGGTGGATCTTTTAGTTTGTTTCTCCACCACAACACTAGATTTTGCCTGCTGCCACACAAAAACAGTAAGAAACAGCTGCTCTAGCTCAAATATTACCCCCGCCCCCCGCCCCCAAAACCCGCTCACCGAACCGAAGATCCTTTCGAGGGCTTTTAAAACAAACGCACATACGCACACATCCACAAACACACTAACCAGGCAGAACGATAGCAGTCAGGTGGCCCTAAGAACACACTATGGCCAGTTAACGCGCTGTATATCAATAGTGTATCATAGCTCTATACATGGTTTTGTAAAGGAACTGTATAGTAATCCCCGTGTGACGGCGGACAGGAGGCTCTGGAGGGGGGAAAAGGACGTTAAGCGGAGCCGGTCAGCGCTGCGGCTCAGTAAAGCTAGTTCTACAGCGTCAGCCGACAGATTGAGTCTCCTGCAGCGTCCCAAGCCTCAAACATGGCCGCTTCTTAAAGGTACTATACAGTAGCTTCACTCTTATACAGCCAAAACAAAGTGCGTAAAGGCACTATGAAACAGCTCCTAAACGCGGGAGTCTGAAAGAAAAAAAAAATATTATTATAAAGAAAATCCATACATTGCAATGGCTAAAGGACAAACTGTGACTACTACTGTACGTGATCACCATATTTAGTGGCCCCTACTGCGCAATAGATGGAAAATAAAAATAAGCCCCTATCCCCCACCAGCAGCGGATGGTTTTAAAGATTAAACAGTGTCAGTCAAAGGTAAAATTAGACATGATCGGCCCGTCCCAAAGACAGGCTCTGATTTTGACACGAGTAAAGCACACACACACGACAACTGTGATTGGTTGGTGAAGTACTTTTTCTTTAAGAGGTGAGTTTTTTTCTTCTTCTTTTTTTTCCCCCGAGGTCAGAATGGTTCGATTGATCGTAAAAGAGAGTAATACCACACGACATCAACAATGTTCCAGCAGCAACCGAATGCTGATTCAGATTTTACAGCCGGGGCCAGAAAGCACTAGCACTGATAAACTATAATAAACACTTCAAGAAAAGCCTGGTACTCCATCGTGTAATTACAACAACCCTCCCCAGTGGATCTCTTTTGCTTCTTTAAAAAACAAAAACAATAATCTGCTAATTAGAGCTGCACAAAATGAGTCAGAATTCAGCTGCTGCAAATCTAAATCTGGTTTCCTCTTTGTGTTTTTGGCTACAAAAATAAGACCACGTGAAAGTATATCTCATTTTGGCAAGTAGATATAGCGCGTTTTAGGTTAACACTTAACTTTCTTTTCAAATTAAATCCTAAGCATACGGCATGTTTGAAATACTCATCACTTCAGCAGGTAATACTTGACATTTTGAATACTTGTTGAGTTTTTTTCTTTTTCTTCTTCTTATTATTATTATCGTCTATGGTGGTATAGCTGGCTGGAGGGTCCACAGCCTTACGAGAGGCAGATGGTGAGACTCTGAGATGAAGGAGAAGAAGAAGTCCGGCCGTCGTCGGAGGAGGGCGGACAGTCAGCCTCAAATCTCCAGTCTGTGTCTCTCTCTTATCTAGATGAAGGTGGAGAACGTTTGGAGAACATGGGGGTTGTTTTCTCTTTTCTGGGGTGCTTTGACGACAGCTCAGCTTGCAGATGTGGGTCGGTCGGGCTGAGGACACAAACGACCAGCGTCCAAGCCGGACGGCGCCGCACTCGGGGCTTCTGGAGGTCCCGCAATTATCTATGACTAAAACAACATCAGGGCGCAGGTATGGAGGCGAAGAGTCGGGAGGGACGAAGGGTTTTTTTGTTTTTTTTTTTTAAGGGAAGGGAGCAAGGATGAGGAGAATGAAGTTAATGTAACAGAGAGTGATGATGGGGGCTGAGAGCTGGATAAAGCAGCAGCAGCTGAATGAGCAGGAGGGTGTAGAGAGGCGGACGGAAGGAGTGACCTCTTCCACAGTCTGACGTGTTCTCCTGCAAATCGACAGAAAAGATATCACACTTACACATCCCGTTTTATTCCAAAACACTGACTGCAAATGTAAATTATAGCCCCCAATTGTAGCCTGGAGCGTGCGCTTTTTTCATTTTGACCAAATCAGTTGGACTAATCTTCAGAAATTACCTCTCTCTGCCCTCTCTGGCTTCAGATTTGTATCTGGATCTACTTAATCAACATTTCCGTTCATTACTTTCAAGCTGACATTTTTGGAAAGTGTTCAGGGGGAAGCAGAACAAGTCAGGTTTTTAATAATAAATACCTGAAATGCTGAGTGAGCAGCAAAACTCACATAGAAAAGTTGCAGCCAGTTTTACATCAACATTTGCAAAGTCACAGTCACAGGTGATGAGTGTCACCTGTTAGCATCTTTTAAGCCATTGCTGATTTCCTTAACTCCCACAAAGACTGACGAATATTAAACTAAACTATAATCAATGTGGTTATTAAAAACCAGAACTGGGTAGTAGGTAACCAGTTACATTTACTTGAATAACTTTTTGGAAAAAATGTACGTAAAGTCAGAATCTGCTTTAAGTCTATTTCTGTCTATAAAGGGAACAGTTTGACGACGCGACTCTGAGTAAACAGCCGTTTGAAATCAAAATGAAGTGTAAAAAAATTCCTGCAGACTAATTATTTCAGAAAAATACAAAAACAAGTAGAATACTTGATACCCCAGGTGAAGATCTAAAACTTTTAAATAAACATCGTCGACTCCAAGATCAAATTCTTCGCCGTAATGAGGCGTGGAAATTCACTTTTGCTTCTCTTATCGCCCTCGTCTTGTTTATCAGAGGACCTAGAGATGCTATAAACTTTCTCATTTAGGTTCTTTTCTTTCCAGTTTTAAAGGGAGAAATAGAAATATGGATTGTATCACATTTTTACCCAAAGGAAACAAGAAGTGACGGCGTACAAATCAAAAGTTCCTTGACGCCGATCAATCAATGAAAAGATGCTTTGGAATCATTTTGTTGAGTTTATTGGGTTATTTATTATTTTTAACGTTGGTTTTTTTCACAGATTTCTCTGCAGAGCGCATCCTAAATATCAGGAAAATTGCAGCTTGTATAGCTGAAATATTTAGCTGCAGTGCTACTTGAGGATCGTCATTCATTTTTTTCCATTTAGCTTCTGCAATAAAGCTTTTTCTCTGTGTGTATTAACGTTTATTAAAGTATATTTGGTGTTAGAACTATCAAAATAGACAGTTGTAAATGTTTTAGAGGGGATCTCAAGAATTTGTTGATTTTAACTATTCGGTGCTGAAACTCCATAAATACCTGGGTCCAGTGTTCTCAAATTAAAGGTATCAAATTTGATGTTACTTTTTTACATCACTGCAACACAAAGTGAGCATTAAGGCTTCATGCATAATCCTTACAACAGGAGAAAATAAGGAAACCAAAAAACATCTGTTTTAGTGCTGCAGCTCACAGTGTCATTTTCCTAAGTGATGACAAGTTTATTTAGACATTTTTAACGTGTCCTACATTTCCTTTCCCTCAGGAAACTCTGCATTGTTATGCATAAAATAACTTTGTCTATTCCTCCCAAGAAGATGACGTTAAAACATGTTTTCAAGTTGAATGTGTGATAACAGTCTGACACATGCAGACAAGAAAACATGACATGCAGCTTAAATATAAACGGTGCAAAAAAAGTCAGTTTTATGGGAAAATATTTTAAAGCAGAAAATTAGGTGGTCTGTATTCACACAACAGAACATAAAATAAAATACACTATACACATGTTAGTGCATGTTATGTACTTCATCTTGCATATCTTTTTACATTTAGGTTGTCAAACTGAGCCTATAATAACAGGATTTTATGGTTGTCTGAAGCCTTTAAAAACAGGTTTTGATGATAAAACAAGGTTGTTGCTTTAATGATTGCTCATATTCTGGAATTTGCGCTCAGTTTTGCAGCTTGCATTATGACACATTTTAGGGGACTATTTTCAGGTGCGGATTAATACACATTTGGGACAATAAAAACGTTTTCACAGCAGGAGACTGCATGCTTTCTTGAGCCAATTTATGCCAGTGTGTTGACAAGTTATTGCATCAGTTTTTTGTTTTTTTTTACAAAGTAATAATGTGAAGCTGCATATCATTACCTTTCTAAAAGAAGTTTTTGCCAAAAGTGATTTATTTATTTTTTGCCTAAAATATTTTGGAAAGAAAGAGAAAGAGGTGGTGATTTTTTAATTATTTTTGACAAAATCACTTTTGGTAAAAATGACTTGTGCCCTTATCTTAGGAAAGTGATGATCTTGAAAATAATGGAATTTTCTATGATTTCCAAATGTGTTATTGTCCGGTTGTTCCTGAACAGGTAAAACTGGCTGACTGAATAAATCTCAGTAGCTGCGGAAATGAATAACATCTAAAACTCTTACAGCTACGTTGCTGTCGAAGCAGGTGGAAGGTCCTTTTCGATACCGTGCAGTCGTCATTTCTTCACACGGATTTTCCTCCTTGACTGATTTATTACTCCATTAAGGAACATCTAAAATATTCTAAGAATTAAAAACCCAACAGCAATGAGGGAGAGGCAGGTTTGTTACTGTGACTGTTGCGGAAAGGATACACTCCTCCTTGTCCTGGGAAAGATCTTCTATCTCGCAGGAGCTGCACGGCAGCTTTTCTGCTACCACAAACAGCAAGTTGGTGTTGTTTATCCTTTTGGCATGAATCAGCCTGCAGAGAAAAAGACAGCTTTGTCAACAACCTCCCTCTGCTTGCTCGCATCTCGCACTCATTTGCTAATGGATCAGCAAGATTTATGAGACAGCCTTACAAGGCTCATTTAGCCAATAATGTGACCATTTCATTTAAAAACAACGCAGGTTTACAGTCTGCAGCGCTTTTCAAGCTGCTTGCTAACCGCGCCTCTGTCTTTCCACATGAGTTGCGTGAAAGGACACGTGCATGACCTGGAACAGTTTCCGCAGTCTTGGAGGATGTTGTAGGAGTTGCTGAGGTTACTGAAGTAGTACTGGGTTTGGATCATCACGCAGCTCCTCTCTTTTGACTCTATTACTTCTGCTTCCACCTCGTCTGCAACATCGGCAGAACAGAGAGAGACACGTTGGTCACCCGAGGTTCTGCACATGTCCGATGATGGTGAATTTAAAGCTCTGCTCACACACACCTGTGACAAACCAGCTGTGATAAGCCAAACCGTATAAAAACTGTTGGAACAAGGACCTGTAGTGACAGAAGATGCAATTAAGAACATGGCAGACCAGTAACAGGTTAGAGGAAAATTATATGGAGTTACATTTTCAGCCTTTTTGTCAAACAAACCCATAAAATACAGCATAGAGAGCTGCAGGCAGACATTAATTCAAGTAGACAGAGCTGGAGGGAAAAGAAGACATTCTGAAACATTTTTCATACAGTTCATTAAAATCGTTTTTAGTTAGCAAAAAGCGCCACTGTTGATTTCCTTATCTCCCAAAAAGACTGACAAATATTAAACTAAACTATAATCAATGCAGTTTCTAAAAACCAGAATTGGATTGTACTGGCAATAGTTACATTTACCCAATTACTTTTACGTTTTGGGAAAAAAAAATACTTTTCAGAGTATTTTTACTACATTGTACTTTTTACTTTTACTTGGGTAACTTTAGTATGAAGTACTGTTCCTCTTACTAGAGTAAAATTTCTGGTTTCTCAGTAACTTCACTGAATTAAGAACAAGTTTGTTTTAATCAAATATTCACCAGAAACAGACACACCCCTGCAGTTTTTGTTAAAGCTTCATAAGTTTTATACTGAAAGAAACTGATTTGGAAATCTGCATGTCACTGTAGTCAAAGCACTTACACAAATTTACAAAAAAATCCACAAATAACTACTTAGTTATGACTAAATGGGATATTTTTTGACATCAGACTAAGATAATAAATGCACTTAGTCATATTTTTAAAGATATTGATATTTGTTGCTGCTAATGCAAACCTTACTTTAACTTTTTGTAGTTTGCAAATATCACCATGCATAGTTCAACATTGAAAAGATAACTCAGTTTTTTTTTATGATGACAAAATAAATGGCCGGTCAGCAGCGATGGCTCGTGTCCATAATCTGAGGCATTTCTAGTATTTTATGTCTCTGCTGCGAATGAAGCAATAACTTAAATATAAACAGGAACAACTGAAGATTCATTCACAGCCATTTTTTTTTTGTTCTCATCTACAACAGAGCTACAGATTGAGACATTTTTATCAGGCTTCAGCCTGTAAAAAAAGTTTGATGTTCTTTGCTGTTGCTGCTTGTATAAAAGTAATAAGTTAAGTAGCTTAAGTCAGCTCAGGTGTGATGGCAGCTACAACAGGGATTAAATGTCAGCACTAATGGAGCATCATGATTTAGTCATTAAACAAGAAGGATTAGAAGAACATGACTTAAACTTGACCTATGACCCCTTTAAATATGGAAAGGCAGTGTGAAGGCTATAGTGAGCAAAAGAGGTTTTTCTCTTTTCACCCATATTACCAAACTGCTACTGCCACAGGTATTACATCTAAACCAGGAAGTCTTTAAGAGCTTCCTGTGCCTCCATGATCGTTTATTATTTGATGAAGAAAGTTGGTTCTGATCTGGGGACTAAAGTGAAGCCTGGAAGAACTTCTATGTGAAAGTATTGCTTTTTATGTCTACAGGTCATAATTATTATATTTCAATGCTCAAAAATATATCCTGTGTAGAAAAACCTATAAAAAATATTTTTTTCTTCCTCTCTTGACAATTTATTTGACCAAAGAAATAACTGCAGTAAAAGAAATGCAACGAATCTTTGAAAGCACCAACAATTGTTCTGGCTAACTAGATAGCCAGTCTCCTACTTTGAATCCAGATGCAGCTACTAGCAAAATATGCACATTATTTTCTGCAGTTTACTGATCCAGAGTGCAAACTGCAAGGAGAGAGGTGCTTCAGATCTTACCATGCAGCAGCTGACGTCCACCATGCCAGGTTAACAAAGTCTGCAATCGTAGGCTGCAGACACAGAGAAAAGAAACTTTTACTCATTTCTTTCTGCTAAACGGGTCAGTATGATTTATTTACAGCTGCCTCTTACATGTTTATCTTTCTAAAATTACTGCTTATATTTTTGTTTTTGACTTAAAGCAGCATTAATTAAAATGAAGGGAAAAATGCGACTATTTTCTGTGATTTAACGGAGGGAAATTATCACTGAAGATGAATAAAGAAAAATAATCAACTGCCAGAAGAAACAATTTTTTGTGGGAGAGTTGTTAAGTACTTGCATAATTTTGCTGGGATTTTGGAAAAGGTACTTAGGATCTTGAATACTTTTGGTGGGTCACATAAAAATAACTCAAAAACCTGCAAAGCTTTAGCAAAATGAACTCAGTCTCTTGAAACGCTCTCCAGCATTATGAAAAATCTTTTGCGTAATCTCATTAAAATAACTAGATCCTACTAAACCTTTGAAAAAGTAAGGAAATATCCCAATGAACCTCGGAAGTTCTCTAATTTGTTTTTTTGTGGGATGTTGCAAAAATACCTATCAGTGTTGCTAAACTTTGCTGGAATCTTAAAAACCAAACTTGGATCTTGTAAAAGTGCTCAGTATGTTTGGAGTCGTGTTCTTACCACAAACACTCCTCGCCTTGCTGCTCCTGCTTCGCTGCTTTGTAGTCGTTCACACACAGACTGATAATCAAACGATTGCTTGCGCTTGTAGAAGGAGTTGTTGTAGAGAGCGTACATCAAGTTTGGGTCAACGACACCAAGAAATTTGCCCACCTGCAAGGATGCAAAGCTCTGCTCAGCACCTGGTGACGATTAGAGTAAATCTGTGATGTCTGAAAAATAAATCTTATATTCAATGAAACCTCGCTCCAGTCGTCCTTCTGATTTGACATGATTAGGAATCCGCCGTCATCAATTAAATAGCACAGGAGATCCTGCAAAAAGACACACGGCAACAGGAGTTTGAAGATGATTCAGGTGAGAAACAGAGCATTAAAATACATCATTTAAATTTGTACGGCTGGCGTAAAAACTCACATCACTATTGGCTTCACAGTCCATCTCACAACCTCTGTTTGGTCCACACTGTCATGGAGGAAAACACAGTTTGGTTCAAGAATTGAAACGCTCATCAAAATAATTATTTTTCTATTAAATTAACATTTAAAACATAATTTATACCGTATTTGAGCCTTGACGGCTGTCTGTGTGGTTGCTGGCAAGAATCTTGAATTTATCGGTCCATGCTTCCAGGTCTAACTTTACTCCAAGAACTGAGAAAAACGCAGTAATTAAAGCATTAAAAATTATATTTAATGCATAAAATAACAGAGGAGAAGTTACATACTTCACCTTTATGTTGATATGAACCATTTTCTCATCTGTAATGAGGTTTTCCTGTTTGCTCACCTGCAGGTTTGACCGTCTTCCCTCCTATTGTGATATCCAGAGCCGTGCTGACCAAAATTCCCACTGTGTCGTTTTCTGGGTTCAGCAGATCGGCCCCAGCTGCATGAGACACACACACACACACACACACACACACACACACACACACACAAAAACAAGACACATGAAGGGGGGTCGGAGGTTCAAGCTGTGGTTTAGTTACGCAACCAAAGAGGATCATTCACCTGATCGATACGGTGCTGTGAAGATGTAACCCTTGTTGTCAAGGCTACGGCGGTAATAGCTGGCGTTAAACGGCTCTGGGTCTTCCTCCCAGGTTTCTGCAGCTCTAAGATTTAAAAGTAGCAAATATCTGCTGTTCAAGCTCCCTCCTCGACCTTATGTAACATCCTAACTTATCATCCAAAAATAGAACCGAGTGAGAAATGTGAGATCTAAAGAAACAGCTGCAGTCAAGACACACAGCAGTGATGAAATCTGCTCTTACTTGTTTGGAAAGACTCTTGTTATGCCTCCATCTGTTGCAGCGAACACAGCCAGGAAGCCGTATCTAAATGTCAGGATGGAGGAGAAACAAACAGGCAGTACTCAGATCTGCGTCTTCCCCACTGGTGATGTTGGAGAATAAACGTCCCTCAAAGCGGCTTGGTGCTACTCACGTGTTTAAGTCTTTATTCTTCCACACTTTCTCGACCAGCTGCCGGATGATGCCGGTGTCCAGAATCAAGTTGTGAAGGAGCAAACTGTCACCTGGAAGAAAATTTACGAAACACAGAGAGGACGATGGAGTAGTGCAGAGACTGAAACAAATTTTATTACTACCTTGCTTTTTGTAGTCAAAGCAACATTAGCTACACGTGTTTCTGTGTATTTAAAAAGGACAAAGTTACTTATTTTGTGAGCTATAAAAATGAAAAGTCCAGCAAATCATTTGTTAACTGCACCCTTCAGAAACAGAGCTGCGTTCGAGGTTTGTCTGTAAAATGCGCAACGCTGAACAATTTCACAACCTTTACTCAAAGATGAATCTGTGATGCATTTGTTAGAGACTATTTTCAGCTGTAGATTAAAACATTTAAAGTGCTGCAGTATTTCTGGCAGCAGGATGGTGGATGTGGGATTTACTCAAAATAAACTCACCAAAAAGGGAAAAAAAACACAAGCAAACGATACTTTATCAGTGGAAAATGAGGAGCAGAACTGCTACAGAATGTAGATTATCTGGGCTACATTTATTTTCTTAATCAGATTAATTTAGAGATTTTTTCCTTCAACATGCAAGGCGCCAGACTGATGTTTTTGCACTGGTTGTTCTGGTCCACCTAACAGAAATACATAATATTTTTGTTATTTCATGTGTATTTTTGACAGTATATAAATCGGAGTGTAAAGATAAGAACATCTTATTTAGGATTTGTATGTGTTTAACAAAAAATGGTTAAAACGATATCAGAAAAGTAGGATTGCAGGCTACAAAGATTAGTAGTAGTCATAGTAATTACATTGTTTTTTTGTTTATGCTTCTCCACAACAGAGTTTTCTGTCTGCATCTGATTGTATATTGTTTGTCTGAAAAAGGTTTGTCTAAAGAAGTAGCGCTTGTGTTGCAGAAAAAATATGAAGTCAGAAGAATTAATTAACTTCCAGATTTGTGTATGTTCAGCGTATTCTGTCTGAATGTGCTATTATATAAGACTGTGGAGGTAAAATCAGTGAAAAGCGACTCCTTTACAAATGTTTTCAGCTGCTTCATTGGACAGACAAACCAAAGCATTATGACGACTGCATCCAGCAAAACTGTAACTAATTTAGCATTAGCTGCAGCTAGGGCCGTTATATGTATTTTTGTTTCTAGAAGACATCAAACGTTGGGAAACCAATAAGGCAACGGTTGTTTTTGACAGATTTTTATTTGCTTGTGCAATCAAATTGCTTAAACTCTGGAGTCCAGACTTTTAATAGGAATAAAACTTACACTGCTTGGAGTCTGGCGTCACTTTCTCCATCAGGGCAATGAAGTTGAGCAGGAACTCGGTGTTGTTGTTGGAAAGTTCGAGATCATTGCAGTACTCCCTGAGAAAAAGGCAAAGGACTCAAATGTGGGAAAGTAAAAGAAAACAACAACAAAAAGCAACAATGTCGTCATTGCCATCACCGACTCTCTTAGATGTTTCTCATTGAAAGACACAAAACAGGACGGGGGAAGCATGAGTCCACACTCATGTTGAGTGTTGCTAAAGTGAGTGGCATGCTCAGGTTCACAAAAATACACTTCCACAAAGGACGGGACAGCGAGGCGAAGCATGAGAATAACGAAACTTAGTTTGGACTTTTTTTAAATGTGGGTTTTGGAGGAGAGGTTATGGGAAGTTTGTATTTTATTTTCTCAGGATGGAGAAACAGGAAGAGGTTCAGTCGGGATGAAAAGCCAGTCCGACTGGGAAACGCTCCTAAAAGCTTTAAAACAGTTTAAACGACTAGTAATTCAATTATAATGTATCGTTTTAAAATCAGAAGCTAATTTACATAGTAAGCAATCTAACTTTATTGAAAATCACATTATTCTGCCTTAATAATAAAAATAAACTAAAAAAAAAAAAGATTTTCTTGGTGCGTTAATGATACATCCATGAACAGCGAGCATGAATTCGTTTCTTCTCTTAACCACAATTCAGTCTAAATCAATATATCTTGATTGAACTGCAGGTAAATTGACATGACGGATGAAATAAGACAATTATTTCATTCATACAGGAATAATCAGCAATTATTCCTGTATTGAACTGAACAGGAATAATTACTGATCTGTCCTCCAGTGAAAGAAACATGGAGCTAGAGGGAAATATTTAAAGTTTACTGATGTCTTGTTCTTTCTTTTAGGCTAAATAGCTAACTGCTTTTTTTAATAACTAAAAAGAAAGAAGATACAGTTGGACAAAAATGGTTTCTATTGGGCACTAAATGATCAACAAAATGTATTAATTGTGGTTTAGTCTACAAAACATAGAGTAAAGAAATAATGGTTGATTACTCCCAGCGGTCAGCACAAATACTTTTAAATGTTTCTTAAATTATATTAGATTATCCACACAGTCAGTGTGAGGCAAACTGCACTCGATCATAAAAAATATTGAATTATGCCTGAGTTATTCTAGTTCTCTTTCCCGACAGTAGGGGTCACTGCTGATTTCTCCGGGTCACATAAGTAATATCAGCAGAAGAAGAACATCAAACGAATTTTAAACTTCCTTAGCTTTTATTTTTCCTTTAAACAGAATGAATTTTAGTGATTCAAACATTTAAAACTAATGCTGTTTCAATTATTTTTATACCAGATTATTTTACATCACATGATTATTCTGGCCAGATTCACAAACTCTCCAAAAGATCCCACTTCAAAAACTCCAAACTCATCAAAAAAATGTACAAGGATTTTTTTTCAAACAGACAAACACATGCATTTTTTTCCCCCTTTTTGGTGAAACCAAAGACATTTGTGTCATAAAAAATAGTTTTTCCTGAGTAGAATCACAATCTAATCTCTTCAGATTGTGTTTTTGCAATGCAAACATGCAGGATCACACAACAGCACCATGCAAACATCCGACATGTTTTTGTAGTTAATTTTTCAAGAATTTAAAAGTACGGAACAACAGTTGTGACAGTAATTGATGATCCAATTCAAAGGTTATTGGCTCCTCTACATACATAGCAAGAAGACAAGCTGACAAATATAAAAACTACATAAAGCGACTGAAACACGGTGAAAAACTGATGACCATCAACGACAGCAAACATTCATACAAAGGGCTACCTGGGAGCAATGAATACATGTCCTTCAGACTCAAAACTGTTTGGCAGCAGAGATTCAAAATCTGCAACAGAAAGGGGAGATTATCCAGGAAGAGTAGTGGGCAGAGCAGCGGGGAGTAAACTGGGTAAACAGCAGCTGTTCTTCAGAGGTGCAGGGACGCAGAAGGGACTTTACCATAGCAACAGTGAGGTATCATGGGAACACCAGCGTTAGCCAATATGGTGCCTAAAACACAACCTGACTCGATGCATCACCACTTTTTACTTCCACAAGCACTCACATATTCTGTTTGACTTGTTGCTTTGCCAACAAAGACCCTGTTTTTCTTTCTGATTAGGTTTGATTTGAGTCTGATTTTATTTGGGGTTTTTTCGGACGTCTGAGAACTGACTTTACCAGGCGTGATGTGTCAAGAAGCGAGTTCTCAGACAGATTGTGCATAATGAGTGCTTTTAGATCAGGCAGGCATCAACATGGCCAACTATTTGCAGGGGGGGAGGAGGTGGGTGAAGGTCCTAATGGAAGTGGTCACCCCTCAGACCGACGGGGGGAGAGGACTCAGAGAGACACTTAATCGGGGGAAATGCATCACATTGTGAAAGGCATGATGTGGGGCAACTTGGGTTGATCCGTCTGGAACAAAACAGCAGAAAGGAATGCCACTGAACCCTTAGAAGACTCCCATATTTTCTAATCGACTCAGAACCAGAAGAGAAATTTAACTTGGACGAAATGGAGTGCCCAGGTAGTTTTCCGCCCACAATGCCATGCACATCCGGGGTCAGGTTTACAGAGGAAGCACTGGGCCGTGCCCCTGGCGGTCTGAGGGGTGAGGAGGGAGGGGGAACAAGCTGATGGAGACGAGGAGTACAGAGGGACAACATTTAGGAGTCAGGTGAGAAACCTGACAGCATGGGGAGACCTGAGAGGCCAGGATGGAGCTCAGCCCTGTGGCGTTAGTCTGCACACTGCACTGTCTCCAGCTAGAGGCAGACAAACTACGGCAGCCAAGCTGTTACAAGTCTATCGAATTTGGTCAAAGTACGTCTGCACCACGGCGTCAGTAGCTGCGTCTCCGTTAACAATAAAACTGTGCGCATCGAAATTACGAAAATTAATTTGCTGAATGGAAACACACCAGTTTTGAAAAACTCAGAAAACGCAAATGTTTTGAAAAAACTGCAAAAGAAACACTTCTTTTTTTTGTTTTCATCGTACGAGTCACGTGATCAACAGCCGGACGTTGCTACTGGTGAAAACGACAAGGAAGACGACAGGAAGTAGTAGAAGGATGACGGTTTGTCTCTTTCTGACAATGTGAGGGTCACAGCATCGCGCAGTTCATAAAACGTTGTGTCATTTTAACATGTTAACACTTCTGTTAAATCATCGACAACAATTTCCCCAAAACACCACAAAAGTAGCTCCAACGCCAGAATAAGACATCAACATCTCCAACGCCATGACTAAATTACGAATACAGTCTGATGTAGCTGTTAAAATCCATTGCTGCTATGATTTTTAATGATAATTGCCTGAATAAACTTATTCTTGTGTGTTTTTAATTTACTTTCTTATCTAGCAGAAACACTGAATTAAAGAAATTGTGTTTTTTTCTTCGACTTCAGACGAATAAAAACAAAGATTTGCGCACATTTGTCATGGAAACACAGCTAATGAAACTTTATGACTATAATCTGAAGTTTTTATTAGAAAATATTGACAATGTTTTACAATTATAGAAATATGTCTGTTTACCTTCCAGGTTAAAAGACTCACACATGCATCACTTTATGTTGGCCTAACTCATAACATTCAAATAAAAACACTACAAATTTTAGCTATACTGTGACAAAATGTGGAAAAGTTCAAGAACTATGCATAATTTTGCAAAGCAGTAAATAAATGTGTGATTGTGCAGATTTGGCACTAAAAAAAAGTGATATTTAAGTCTAATACCTGAACACTAGTGTAAAATGAACTAGTTACACTGTAGAGAGAAGATGAAAAGAAAGAGACTGGAGTTAATTAGAGGGGAAAATAGAGAGATTATGGTGAGGTGAAAGAAACAGAGGCAGAGAAGGGACAGCTTCTCTGAAACTGACCGCAAAAGAAAAGGGGATTGATGTGGGAGCGGGGACAGAAGACAAATTTAAACAGAAAACATAAACGTCTATCATCCGTGGGTGCTGTTGCTTTGCTTCTCCCCCAAAATATATATATATATATATATATTTAAGGTTCCTGGAGCAGCAGATATGTGAGAGAGAGAGTGAGGTTGAGGACCGGAGGAGTCATTGTGGGATCTGAGCTGCAGCAAGAGGGTCAAGAGGAGAAGGGATTAACGAAGGAAGAGAGGAGGGGAAAAGGAAGAAAGAAAGGTTGGAAGGGCTGAAGGCATGGTTGGCAGGGACAAAGGCAAGCAGGCTGGGACAGGTGAGGAGAGGGAGGGTGAGGACAAGGGGTGAGGTAAGGAGGAGGAAGCGGTAGGGATTAGGAAGTAAAGGTAGGGAATGTGGACCGATATGGAGTATACTTGCCCTTGATGTATGAGACTGTGTGGATCCATCAGAGAAGGAGTGAGCAAGAAAAGAAACAGAGGATCGGGTAGGAAGGGGAAGGGGGGATCACAGACAATATTTTATTCAATAACTGTTTGAATAAAAATATTGTTTTCTTGAAAGAAAAAAAACCAATTCAAGTCAAACCAGACAACAGAGAAAAATAAATGAAGAACAAACATTCTTTCTGCAAGACCAAACAAAGAAAAACAAAGACATCCTGGGCAAGGAAAGCCAGGAAAGGAAATGCACTTAACACAAACCGTGAGAAATAACCATGGCAGAACCAAAGAGAAAAAAATAATATAAAAAAAAAAACACCAGGAAAAGAGAGGAGAATCAGGGTCTGGACAAAGAAAGAATGAAAGACACAAAATGTGTCCCAAATCAGACCCAGAAAAAAAACAAACTCCCACAGTTGAAAAGCCATTATTCCAGGCCATGTGGGAGTTTAACAATCGAATGATTCCAAAGCTGATCAACATCTCACACCGTCCAACAGAAGAGGAAATAAATTCCCACATGACAGAAAAAAAAAAAAGAAAAATCATAAAACTCATCATAAGGAGTGAAAAGCATGCATTTTTTCACAGCTTTCTGGTCAGAAACATCCAATAATTTAAAACACAGACGCTTCAGAATCATTACTATGGTGGAGAAGAGGCGAGAGCGTTTGGTAAAACAAAAAATAATAGCACAAAGGTCACCATTATTTTCACCTGAGGAGTACAGTAAAACCACAGCTTTCACCTTTCTGTCTGTTCAGTTATTTTTTTCTTCAGCCAGTGTGAAGAAAAAACATCACCATTTTACAGCACAGCATGAAGACAGGAGGGAGCGGGGGGAGCGGAGGAGGAGGAGGAGTCGAGGGACTCGGGAACCGTATGATCCTGCCTATCAGAGAGCATAGAGAAGGGGGAGAGGGAGGCTGAGGGGCCGGGGCAGACCGATCCCCTCGGAAACTCCATATGATGATGTTGGAAACCCGCGAAAAATGACTGAATTCGAGTGAGAGGTCACATCAGAGAGAGAGAGAGAGAGCAGAGAAAAGAGGAGGAGGACAGACAGACGGGAGGAGGACGCCGGGTCTGACCCAAAGTACTTACACTGCACCTGGAGGATCTGGTCACTTAGGTTGGCCTTGACATGGTTCTCACTATATGTGGGCAGTACCAACCCTAGACTGAGTTGGGGAAGATAAGGAACAACGTAAGCAGACATAAACCTTCAGCTCTGGACACATGAAGAGGCCGCTGCACTGAAAACCTCCTGGTGTTTCCACCAAATGTTGGTTTCTGACCTGAGTTAAAACATCAGTGTTGTTGTTTCTAAATCAACTTGTTTTCTTTGTATTATCTGAGGTCTGAAAGCGTTGCATCTTGTCATTTTGACCATTTCTCATTTTCTGCTAATAAAAACAACATTTTGAGTGTAATTTCAGAGACATCTTGTCAGAAGTTCATATAATAAAAGAACAATGTTCATTTTACTCAAATACAATAGCTATAAAGAGTAAAATCAGAGAAAATGATCATTTTAAATGGTCTCTTAATTTTTCCAGAGCTGTATTTCACATTTTTGAAGTTTATTTAACGCTCCATGAATACACCTTCATTCTACGTTCAACAATAATAATGATAATTGGGGTGTACCGATTGCAGTTTTCTGCCAAATCGTCGACTATTGATCTTTAAAAAGCCTGATCTGCCGGTTCCGATTTTAACCAATACCATTTTTTTTGTCTGAAATTTTGCTAAATATAGCACGAAAGTCGCTAAGTTGGTAACAGTGGGGAGAATATTGTCCACTGAAAACATGCAGAAATGACCTGGAGGGTCAGTCTATCAGTGAAACCTCTGTCACTGCAGAGCAGAAAAGGTCAGTGGCTTATCTTTTGATATACATACGTATATCTTTTGTTATGCATATGTATATGTAGATATTGGGGTGAGGTAGATGAGATCAGCTTCACGTTTAAGAATCGGCAGATCACCAATCTCCTAAATTGGCTGGCCGATAAATTTGTGCACCCTTAATTATTAATGACGCTAACAATGCTGTGTAATAACAACATAATACATCAAGACAGTTTCTCATATTTATTGTAAACCATTTCCTTATGCTAAAGTTTGAATAGCTTAATGTTTGGACATTACTTTAACGGCACAGTCAGACTCTTCTACAGTTGCAAACCACAGACTGAAATGCAAAAACTTCTTCTCCTGGTTCTGATCTTACAAGCTTTTAATTTGCATTTCCCTCTGGGATGATGACGTCCCTTCTTCTTTTGAAAATATTTTTTGAATATTTCATTTTTAAATAAGATGCACACTGTTTGTAAATTCACAATTTCAGTAATAATTTAGAGCTTATAAATACTTGAGTTGTGTGATCCAGGTAGCCAACCTTATTGATAATTCAGCAAAGAATGTGCAGAGCTTTCTGTTTATTTAATAAAAAAAATACTCGTTGATATTTTATTTTGTATATGCATATTTCATAGAAAAGATGCTTTAGGAACATTCCTGCGATGCATGTGGATGTTTTAATCGAAAAACATCACTCAGTTGTGCAGAGCTTTAGATGTTCTCCGTCTTTGATTTGCTGTAATTTCCTAAAAGCACGAAAGCCTTTCTCTCTTTGTGCGACAGCAGCATTTGATGTGCCACATTTTCAAACAGACCTTATAATCCACTGAATGTGCCATGATTTCCTTTTTTATATAAAAGCAAATCTAATTTAGCGCATCTGTGCAGTGACAACCTTGCAGACCCCCTGTGATCTCCAACAACCCCATTAGTGATTTCTAAGGATGGGAGTAGTGTAAGCGCTTCGAGTTTCACTTCACATTAGCTAATTTTCCCCAAATGAAAATGAAGCTAACTGGGTCCTCGTCAAACTGTTCGTAAACCCGGATGTTTTGATATAAACTAACCTTTTCCTTTTTCATTTAATCTATTTTAAGAGACACAAAATCATCATCAATAAGGCCAACTTGCAAACTGAAGGA